TCTATTGAGCCAGGCACAGTGCCACACACGCATAATACCAAACACTTAGGAAGCTGAGGCAGGGGGATCATGAGTTTGAGGCCAACTTCGACTATACAGTGAGACCTGGCTCCAAAAACAAAAACAAAAATTTGATTTTTTTTTTTAATGTCCGAAATTTTCCATAATAAAATGCCTCAGGGGAGGGGGAAGCACTAGTGACTGAATCCAGGACCTTTGCAATGAGCAGCAGGCCCAGCCTTTTTCTATTCTGAGATAAGAGTCTCACTAAGTTGCTAGGTTGCCCAGGATGGCTTCAAACTCCTGATCCTCCTGCTTCAGCCTTCTGGAACTGTTCCTTCAACCTTGGTGCTTAAATTAAGGTGCTGAGTTCTGCATGGATATTGGTTTCTAGAGGTTATAACACACATGTATGATCTATTCCTCATGCCTATGGTAGGTTAAAGGACAGATTCCAGGCCATCCTCATGGGTTTTGTGCATGTGTTGGTAGGTACTATTTTCTCACTTTTAATTCTTTGCATAATTTAACACAACTTATTACAGAATGCTCAAGCAGTAATGCATGTAGAAGGATCTGTATATGTGCAGAGCCATCAGAAGGATTACTGTACAGTGATGACATTACAATCTTTTAGCTCTGAGTCCAATTTCTATACTCTTTCAGTCAGTCTAAAGGGCAGAGATATTTGACACTGTTTGGAAGTATGTGGCAAGCCCCAGGGGCTTTAGGCAATGTCTGGAATAATTTGGGGCAGATACAACTGGGAGATCTATAGCACCTAAAGGGCACTGCACATCCTCTAACGCACAGGTCAGTACTCCACAAACAGTATGTGGCCCAAAACACTAACCACACAAGTTTGAGAAACCCTGTTCTATTCCATGATGCAAGACTGGGACTCCAAAAACAGCATTTTCCCAATTAATGGTAAGTGCAACTACTGTACTCAGATCAGACTGAATAAAATAGTTCAATCCTGATAGGTTACATACTGTCTGACTGCACTTATTCTTGAAATGACAAGATTATAGAAATAGAAATGGATCAGTGATTGCCAGAAGGTCAAGAGATTATGGAAGAAGGAAGGTAAGTGTGGGATCCTTAAGCTAATGGACTTGCCCTGTATCTTAACTGCAACAATGTTATTGTAATGATGTAACAACAACGTAATATCAGTACTGTACTTTGCAAAATACTACAGTACCACTGGGGAGAAATGAGTTAGAGTACACAGACTCTCTTGTTTTATTTTTATAACCATGTTAACCTGTAATTATTAAAATACTGAATGTGTTAAATGTTTAACTTTTAGTTCCCATAATGTCCCATCTTGTCAGCAAGAAAATACTAATGACTTTAAGGATCATCTAACAAGAAGTCAAAACAGTTTATTAAATAAGTGCCCATTCTAATTTTTCAGTATTCCAAGCAAGGTATGGTGGCACATGCCTGTCATCCCAGCACGCAGGAGACTGAGGCAGGAGGATCAGCACAAGTTTGAGGACAGCCTGGACTACATAGTGAGTTCAAAGCCAGCCTGAACTATCTAGCAAGAGCCTTTCTCAAAAAAACAACCATCAAAGAAAAGAAAAACATAATGGGAAATGAACCATATAAAAACAAAAATACCAAATACTAGGAATAAACTTAATAGAAAATATTTAGACAGAATATTTTCAAAAGAGGAAATAAAGAAGATTCCCTATTAATTAATAACTATATTGAACTATTTCTGAAATATTTCATAACAAGCTGGGCATGGTGGTATACACCAGTAACTCCAGCACTCAGCGGGCGGAGGCAGGATTGAGGCCAGCCCGGACTACACAGTGAATTTAAGGCCAGTCTGAACTACATAGCAAGACTCAGTTTCAAAAAAAAAAATTCATACCAAAGTATAAATTATACAAATGAGTTTAAGAAAATACCTGTTTGTTTCCTCCTATTCCACCCCAGAGACTGTTTGGCATCTATTACAGACTGAATTACCTCCCCAAAAACTCACAGGCTGAACTTCTAACCTTAGTACCTCAAGAAGTAACAAGATTTGTAATCTGCAAATGGAGTCTTTAGAGAGAAATTAAAATAAGTCATTAGGGTGGGCCCTATTCAGTATGACATAGTTGTCTAGGAAGAGGACAGGTGCACTATGTAAAAGGGATTCTATCCATACTCACACAGGCAATGGCGAGTCCTACCCTATCTCTAGCCTGCCCTGCAGGTTTCAGTTTGCTGGACCCACAAATGTGAGATTTAGTTCTTCACCTTAAACCATTCTCTGTGTGCGTACACACACTCTCACATGTATACATCCTATTGGCTATTTCCCTGGAGAAACCTAACATGCATGCTTTTCCAAAATCTCCCATAGGCTTTCAGATTTGGTTAGATACAGCAGAGCTACCCTGAAGATTTCTAAACCAAAAGATCAATGGGTCATAAGGATTACACATGCTTCCCCTTTTAAAATCTCATTTGTAATGAAATTCCCGTCTCGCCCATCTCACTTTCATCGACTCTTCCACTTCTTAAGGTACACTGAAAACTACAGAAAACATACATAGGAATTAATTTTTAAATCAATGAAAAATATCACTAAGTCAAAAAGCAATGATCAAAAATATCTGCAGCAAATATAGCATGGATTATAAATAAGTATTAGTCTGATGGACCAAGTACACAGAAGAGATTATTCACAGTAGAAACATACACAGAAATAGATATGAAAAAGTCTTCAATCTCAATAAATAACAAAGACATGCAAATAAAAGTATTTTCTAACTTGAATTAGAAAAGTTTTTATAGTCACGTGTCACTTAATGACAGGGATACGCTCTGAATGTTTTGTTGTGAAACATTAGAGTGCACTTAAGACAAGACAGTTACAAAAACACTAATGTGGGGCCCAGGGACCAATTTCGATCCCCAGTACCAAAAAAACAAAAACAAAAACAAAACACTTATGTGATATCTTATGCATTTATTAATGATCAAAGTACAAATAGAATAGTTTTAATAGCATCTGCCAATGCCACGGGGGCTTTGGAAACCATTATACTATGGTCAGCAGTCTCGTTTTCTCTAAAAAAAAAAAGTTTTTTTTTCTGAAGAAATAATAAATCAGATGGAAAAACCTGAGCATATCTTACAGCAAACGAAAAAAAGTGCTACAATAAGGATATAAGCAAACTTTATGGAAAAAGGGATGAGACTTTGTCTGAAAAACTTGAAGATTTTTTACAGAAGCAACGATTTAAGTTTGGCTTAAGGGTTAAGATCCTAACAGCCAAATACTAATGTATTTCAAGCAGAAACTTCATCATGTATCTGTTTTTAAATTTCCCAAATGGAACAAGCAAGTGTAATGGTTGGTTATAATACCTGAATACAGATGAGTACACAGGAGCACAGGATATGGCTGGTGGAAGGTTATTAATTGTAGGAAGGCAGCCTGGGACTCTGCTGCTGAGAACAAATTTTTCCTGCATGCAGAGGAGAGCTAGCTAGTGTCTGTAAGCAAATCCATCTGAGAAAGAAAACCCTAGCACCAGGGTACAAAATGGTTTGGGACACAGCAGAGTTTTTAGAATGAAGAAGTCCGGTTAGAAGTCCAGTAGGAGACTACCATGGCTTGAACTCAGACTGAAATAAGTGGATGGAAGATCAGAGGCTCAACTGCCTGCACTTGGCAGCTTAATGAAATCTGGGCCCCTGAGAAAGAAAAGGACAATAAAAAAAAGCCCCGTTTTAACTCTCAGAGACAAGGAGAATAGGAAGACTCGAATCTGTAGGATAAACCGAAAACGGACTTTTTTGGGACACATTATATTCAAGAGAACACTGACAGGTGCCGGAAGCATCACATTCAAATCCACGCCTCAGAGAGAAGTTTAAGGTAATCATCAAACTTGTACTTTAAGTTACTGAAAAGTAAAAGCAGAGGAAATTTTAAGTAATAAAGAGAGCAAAATGGATGTAGGGAACAAGGACTGAACCTCTTCCTGGACAGGCATAGTGAAGTGTCACAAATATTTAAGAAGGCCACGCAGATAAGTATGGAGATGGAGCCGTCAAATTTAGCCATTACTATGGTGTATAAGGGTATATAAGAAAGCAGTTTCTTTTTTCAGTGACAAGTACTTTAATTTTTAAAAACAATTCACTTGATGTATGGCACCATTCTACTTTAAATTGATACAAATAAACAAAAAAGGTACTGTTCTCATAGGTAACGTGCTGAAATTCCCTTCTACACTAAACAATCTCTATTACACACACTTGGCTTATGTGTAAAGTTAGATGTAAGACAAGCAGTTTCTAAAACATGACGTGTTTGTCCCTTACTCAAAAAGTTAAACACAGAATTACCATATAACCCAACAATTCTAATCCTGGATGCATATTCTGAAGAATGGAAAATGAAGACTATAAACAGATACATGTAAACACATGTTCATAAGAACATTACTCACAAGAGCTAAAAGGTGGGAAAAAAAAGTCGTGTCCATAAAGGAGTGAATGGGTAACATACAACGGAATATTACTCGGCTGTGAAAAGGAATAAAGTATAGCACGTGCTACATGTCTGAGCCTCAAAAACATGGGGTGTAAGACAGACATAAAAGGACAAGTAGTGTATGATTCCATGTATGAAAGAGTTCTAAAATAGGCAAATCTATAGAGACAAAGAGGGCCTATAACCAATCACAAAAAACAGGCTTTTCTTTTTTCTGAGAAACGAGACCACTGCGTGAGTGTCGCGGGACTCCTTCCACTCGCTCTGGTTCTGTGCACGCTCGGAATGTCCCACACTTATTCCTGGGCACAATTTATTTTCTTTAGGACCGAAGGACGATGCTCTGGACTTCATTTTCCCGTCAAGAAAAGCGGTGGCTAGGGAGGACGCGAGCCCGGAGCCGGCCCCGCCCGCTGCCTGCCGCCTCAGCCGCCAACGGAGGCCGCGCGGGGTCAAGCGCCGCCGCCCGCCCGCTACTCACCGCGACGCCCGCAGCCCAGGAACGCGGCCTTCTGGGCCTCGGGCTGTAGCATCTTCCCTCCTGCCACAGCCCGGGGCCCTGCAGCACGAAACCGCCAGAGCAGCCAGAGTTAGTGTAGCGGGGTGACAGGGCAGCCGAGCGTGGCACAGGCACCAGGCGCGGTGAGGTAGCCCGGACCCTCACCCAGTCCCCGCGCCGAATCTAGCTCAAGCGCGGGGCTGGATCGGCGCCGCGTCAGGGCGAACCCGCCCATGGCTGACGTCATCGCCCGCTGCGCTGACGTTACCGGACTGCGCGCGCACCTGGCGCTGTTCTGACGCTTTCTCTTTTAGGTTGTTTCAGCAAAGACCTGGTGAGAACGAGCGCTCTACACGTACTCAGAAGATGTCACCATCGCTTATGGTGAGAATAATATAGGTTAAAATGTGCAGAAAGAAGCTGTGAGAAACGACTCATATTTGTGCTAAGAGCACCAAAGTATAAACCTCTCTACAGGGAATTTGGCGACGCTGGACAAAAAGACTGGGGTTTAACCTTTGCGAGTGTCACATGGTCAGGAATTTCTAACATTTTTTTAAAAAAACGCACTGCTTATCCGGGCATGGTGGCGCACGCCTGTAATCCCAGCATTTGGGAGGCTGAGGCAGGAGAATCGCTGAGTTCGAGACCACCCTGGGCTATATAATGAGTTCCAGGTCAGTCTCAACTACATAGTGAGACCCTGTCTCAAAAAACCAAAATCAAACAAACAAAAAACGCATTGCTTCACAATTGTCTAATGAGGGAATCGAACACGCCCAGGCTGGAAATTGTGCATCCCTGGTAAATTACAAAATCGGAGGAAAGAAAAGGCAGCGCCTGAACCAGAGCAATGACTCTGAGCAGAAGGACGCAAGCCACAGCGTCTTGCTGGTTTTCTGGATTAGGAGCTCTGCCAAATACCTGCCAGCGTTGTTCCATGTGGGGTGTCCCGCTGTGCCTGCCAGGATGGCCCTCGGCGCTGAGGACTCGTTTCCCCAGGTGTTGGGTATGTGAGTAGCTTATGACACCACGCCCCACCTCATTGGGGTCTTTGTGTAGTCCTTATCCTACGCCCAATTGGTACCAGGTGGAATACCTGTGATCTTGCCCATCTCTGTCAGGCAACAATTCACCTTGGTTAGATTTAACATCTGTTTCAGGTGGAGGTTTCTCTTACAAAGGTAGAACACATCATCACCAAGTCTCCCTCAATGTGGGACAACTCACATAAACATCAAATTTTATATTTTGAACTCCAAGTTTTATATTTTAGAAGCCTGATCCTGCTGAGAACTCCTCAGAAAATCATCCATGGCAGTGGTGAGGAAACGAGTGAAATCTATTAGATATATTTAAAAGTGATGTAAAGAGTTTATTCAAATATGTAAATATATACCAAAAAGTACAACCATCCAAGTGAATTTACAATGAAATGTTTTACACTGTCCACATCAGAAAGACTATTAACAACTGCTTCACAAAGCTGTACCTAAATTAGTTGGAGAATTCAGAAGAAATGGATAAATTCCTAGATACATACGAATTGCCAAAACTGAACCAAGAAGATTTAAAAGCCCTGAATAATCCAATAGCAGGCAATGAATTGAAGCAGTAATTAAAAAAAAAAAAACTAGCAACTAAGAAAGCCCAGGTCCAGATGGATTCACTGCTAAATTCTTAAAACAAAACAAAACACAAAAAAACTTAAGGAATGATCTAGCACCAACACTCCTTAAGGTCCTTAATGAAATTGAAAGGGAAGGAGTACTCCCCGCAGTCATTTCTGGAAGCTACGTGGTATCTGGAAGCTACCAGGATCAAACCACAGAGAAAATAGATGCACAATGACTACAAATGCAAAAAAATCCTCAGCAAGTTACTGGCAAACAGAATGGCAACAAATCATCAAAAAGATCACACATCATCACCAAGTAGGATTCATCCCAGAGAGGCAAGGATGATTCAACATATACAAACCAATAAATGTAATACATAAAAAATAAGCAAGGAAAAGAATCATGACCATCTCAATTAGATGCCAAAAATGCCTTTGACAAAAATCCAACATCCTTTCATGATAAAAACACTGATGAAAATTGGTATAGAAAGACCTTATCACAGTCTGATAAAGGTCATTTATGACAAACCTACTGCCAACCTCATATTAAATGGGGAAACATTGAAAGCTTCCCCTCTAAAATTAGGAACAAAACAAGGATGCCACTATGACCATTCCTATTCAATATACGACTCAAAACATTAGCCAGAACAATCAGATAGGAAAATGAAAAAGGAATATATACAGGAAAGGAAAAAGTCAAATTCTTGTTACAAATGATAAAATCATCTACACAGAAGACCAAAAAAAACACACCAAAATATTCTTAGAATTAATTAAATTTAGTAATGTATCAAGACAGATCCACAAAAATCAATAGCATTCTTGTACACTAATAATGAACCCACTGAGAAAAATTAGGAAAAAAATACCACTCATAAGAGCACAAAGAAAATTAACTTAGGAATTATCCTGACTAAAGAAGTGAAAGACCTCTGCAATGAAAACTACAGTCCTTGAAAAAAGTAAATAAAGAACATCAGAAAATGGAAAAATATCCCCTGTTCCTGGATAGACAGAATCAATGCCGTCAAAATGGCCATACTTCCAAAATTGATATGCAGATTTAGCACAATCCCAATCAAAATACCAATGCCATTGTTTACAGAAATGGAGAAAACAAGCCCTGCATGGTGGTGCACACCTGTAAGCCCAGCACTCAGGAGGCTGAGGCAGGAGGATCACTGTGAGTTCGAGACCAGCCTGGGCTACTTAGTGAGCTCCAGGTCAGTCTCAAGTATATAGTGAGACCCTGTCTCAAAAAACCAAAAAAAAAAAAAAAAAAAATGAAGTGGAGAAAATAATCCTAAAATTCATATGGAACCAGAAGAGACCCAGAATAGCAAAAGCTATCCTGGGTAACAAGAGGAAAGTGGGAGACATCACAAGCCCAGACTTGAAGCTATATTACAAAGCTACTATGTAAAAACAGGATGGTACTGGCACAAAAACAGACATGATGATCAATGGAACAGAATAAAGGATGCAGAAACAACCCCAAACACAATCAACTGTTTGATCTTTGACCAAGGGGCCAAAAATATACTGCAGAAAAGATAGCCTCTTTAATAAATGATATTGGTACAACTGATTGTCTATATACAGAAGCTTGAATCTAGACCCATATCTCTCACCATGTACTAAGTTAAAATCAAACTTGATCAAAGAACTAAATGCTAAAACAGAAACAACCTTCTGGAACATGAAACGAGTAAAACTCTTGAAGTCATAGGTGTAGGCAAGGACTTTCTGAAAGAACCCTGGTTGTATAGGAAACAATACTGAGAATCAGCTAGGTGTGGTGGCACATGCCTGTAATGCCAGCACTCAGAGGCTGAGGCAGGAGGATCGCTGTGAGTTCAAGACCAGCCTGGGCTATATAATGAGTTCCAGGTCAGTCTCAACTACATAGTGAGACCCTGTCTCAAAAAATAAAACCAAAAAACAAAAAAAACAAAAAAACAAAAAACAAAAAAACTGAGAATCAAAACAATGAGATCATATCAAATTAAATATTTTCTGCATAGCAAAAGAAAATTTAGAAACAATCCACAGAATTGTAAAGTTTCCATCTATTCCTCAGATAGGAGACTAATACCTAGAATCTATAAGAACTCAAAAGGATTAGACACCCCAAAGTAAAAGACCTAATCAAAAACTTGGCAAGTGAAATGAATAGGCACTTCACAGAAGTACAAAGGGCCAATAAATAATTGAACAATTGCTCAACATCTCTGGTCATTTGAAAAATACAAATTAAAACAACACTGAGGACCAGGGGTTTAGCTCAGTGGTTCTGCCACCTTCCTCACAAGTGCAAGATCCCGAGTTCAATCTCTGGTACTGAAAAAAAAAAAAAAGAAAAGGAAAAAAAACCAACAACACTGAGAGTCCATCTTTCCCCAGAATGACCAACGTCAAGAAATTAAATAAGGGCTGGGGATTTAGCTCAGCGGTTCGGTGGCCTGCCTTGCAAGCGCAAGGACCCGAGTTCAATCCCCGGTACAAAAAAAAAATTAAATAATAGGGCTGAGGATTTAGCTCAATGGTGCCATGCCTGCCTTGAAAGCATAAGGTCTGAAGTTCAATCCCCAATATTGAAAAAAAAAAAGGAAAAAGAAAAAGAAAAAAAAAGAATGAGAGAAATCAAATAATAACAAATACTGGAATGCTGGCCAGGCTGCACAAGTAAAAGGGAACTAGGGCTGGGGATTTAGCTCAGTGGTCCCAGCTCCTGCCTCATAAGCACAAGGTCCTGAGTTCGATCCCCAGTACCAAAAAATAATAAAAATAAAAATAAAAAATAAAAAGGAACCCCTCTACACTGTTGGTAGGAATGTAAACTTGTACAATCACTATGAAAATTAGTATGGAGATTCCTCAAAAAACTAAAACTAGAAATTCCTTTTGATCCAGGTATTCCCCTTTCAAAAACCTTACCAAAATAAAGTCATTATATTATAGTGATACACGCATACCCATGTTGATAGTAGCACAATTCATAATAGCTAAATCTTGGAATCCATCAACAGATGAATGGATAAAGTACATGTGGTATTTACACACAATGGAGTATAGCTCTATCATAAAGACAAACTTGAATCATTTATAGGAAAGTGGATGTACCTTGAGAGCATAATGTTAAGTGAAAGAAATCAAACACACAAGCTTAAATGTCAAATGGTTTCTCTTATATGAGAAACTCAAAGTATAAATAAGGAGCAAAATAGGACCAAGGTTCTGCTGCCTGCCTTGCAAGTGCAAGGTCCCAAGTTTGATACCCAGTACCAAAAAACAAAACAAAACAAAACAAACAAACAAAAACAGCTATTCAGATCAATAAGGAGCAAAATATAAGATAATACGAAGTAGTGAGATAGATCTTTCTTAAAGGCAAAGGAGGCCAAAAAAGGGGTGGAGGGGAGGGAAGGGGATGAAAAAAAGGAATTGCTAGGCTACATACAAAGTTCAAGACCAGGCTGACGATAGACTGTAGACTGTAGACCTGACTGTGAGACCTTGTCTCAAAACACACACACACACACACACACACACACACACAGAATTAAAATGTGTTATGTACATGTACCAACTCCACACAAGGAATGTAAACATTATATACTGGAAACATGTACTAAAACAAACAAACAAAAAACAAACACAATATTAGGTCTTTGACTTTAAAGATAGAACATTTCTGGCATTTTCTTTTCACAAAGTTGATATGTCCAACATATATCTTTTACACTTACAAAACAAAAAGCATTCTTAAACTTCAAAACTAGAAAAAAAATGACTATTTTAAGAAGATACTCCATGTTTATATTGCATAATTCTCCTTTTTCCTTCAGGTATAGAGTTTCTAAATATCCTAATTTTAATAGTTTTATTAAATTTAATAATTTTAATAATAAATTGAAGATTTAATAATTTTAATAGTTTATTATCCATGAATTCATATATTTTGTGACAATTTTTATGAATTCAAAAATTTTTATGACTTTCTAGAAGCATGTCAAGTATAATATATGGGCCAAGTATATAATCATACTGTGGCATTTCTTTGGGGTTGCCACACTGACCTATTAAAAGCTCAAACTACCCATTTGTCATATATCAGTTTTTTCCACATTTATCTAGTAATAGGTTTTTGTGTAGCGTTTTGCTACATAGACTGATATAAAGAGATTATAAATAGTTCTTTTTATTTATATGTATGTATGATCTTGAAAACATAAAGTCAACAGGGGTAAGCTCCCTGGTGCTCAGCTCCCTGCTACCTTCCTGGTTTACTGTTTTTTTTGTTTTGTTTTTTGAGACAGGGTCTCACTACGTAGTTGAGACTGACCTGGAACTCACTATGCAGCCCAGGCTGGTCTCGAACTCACAGTGATCCTCCTGCCTCAGCCTCCCAAGTGCTGGGATTACAGGTGTGTGCCATCACGCCCAGCCCTGGTTTACTGTCAACTGACCAGTCAAATTGTCTCCTGTTGCACGGACTCATTTATCTTTTCTCTAGCAAGGACTGTGTTTTGAGATCCTAGCAGAAGTCTCCCCCGCCGGGCATGGTAGCACACACTTATAATCTCAGCACGTGGGAGGCTGAGACAGGAGGATCACTGTGAGTTCGAGACCAGCCTGGGCTACATAGCGAGTTCCAGTTGAGTCTCAACTACATAGTGAGACCCTGTCTAAAAAACAAACAAACAAATAAAAACCAAACAAAAAAGAAGTCACAAGACTACAAAAAAAAAGCAGTCTACCCCATTTCTTTCACTGCCCTTTCATTAGATTCCTCCCCTCATTATATCTCTTTATTGTCTTTCACCTTCCTAACCACCCTCACCAGGGTGAAGCCCACAGATCCCTCCAGCCCCAAAGTACCACCTTCACCATCTAGGAGTGTGTTCTCACAGATGCGACACCAGCCAGACGTGGGAGGGCTCAGACATGAAACAGCAAAATCAGAAGCAGAGAGGAGGTAGTGACTCAGACAGACAGAAGGACAAATGAGGGAGCAGTTTTGAGGACAGAACCAAGATGTACACCAAGTGGATGGTACATCAGAGACTCAGGAACCCAACCAAGTAAGGTGTCAGCCCCAGCTTCTATGCTGGCAGCAAGAAAATAGCTTGGTCTGGCTCAGCCAATGTCAGAATGTGCCAAGATAGCTCTCTGCAATTGTCTTCAGCAGGTCTGCTTGGAGCAGAAATCAAGTCGGCAAAAGCTCTAAAGCAGAATGGGTTCCTATAAGGCCAGTAGGACCAAGTGAGTTTGGTAAATAATTGAAAATGACATGCTTTCCCCCAGTTGATTATATGCTTGACTCTGAACTGTGAGACAGTTTACATTTGTAGTGCTCAAGGTCCTGCCACCCCAGGAATTCAGTGACAATGAGCAACAAAAGATCAGGAATTGTCAGTGAAGGGGGAAAACCAATACTCCCAATGTAGGCCATTCTGATTGTATTTCTTATTGCATTTCCCATAATTCCATGATGTTCCAAAATTGTTCTCTGGTGCCACCATCTTGAAGGACTAGGGAACTTTTTAATTATTAATGAGAATGACTTGTTTTCCTTTCATCAGCTGTTCATAGATGCCTCCAACTCTGGGAAGACAGTATCCAAATACCACTGAAATGACTTGCAGCCCAATTGTTTCCTTAACTGAACACGTTCACTAATGTTTCCATAAGTCATGGATTTCAAACCAGGGCTTCGAAGAAAGAACTGCTCCTAAATGAAAATAAAGAGTCATTTCATTAAGTGAAGCAAATCTTTGGTAATCAACATGATATCAGACATAGCAGCACATACTGTCAACATCTGAACTGAGGATGCCCTTCCTTCTGTGTAGGGAGCAAGAGCAGAGATACCTATGGGACCTGAGACCAACTCACCGATACTGAGTCACTGCTGATGTCGTGGCACAGATCAGGTGACACAACGGAGTCCAGGGAGACTGGGTTCTGCTTCTCCAGAGCCAGAGAAATCACAGCTACCTACTGTAGTGGCCTCTTTTTCCAACTCTCAACAACTCAAGGACCAATCAATACTCCCATCTTTCCAGAATAAGGGACAGTGTGGTGGTTAAGGGAGAATGGACTCTAGAGCCAGGGGAGACAGACTGGGTTCCGATTCTGGCTCTGCCACTAATTACTTGTGACCTTGGCCTAGTTCCTTGTGCCACGTCCCATCATGAAGTCTCTAAGGTCTGAGCACTTAATATGTGCAAAGATCCTGGGGGAAAAAGGCTGTCAGTTTTGTGTTGGTCCTTACTAACATATCTGATTAAGTTCTGATGTACTTTGACTTAGGAAGCACTAAGGATGACTGCCTAAAGGACTCCATTAGTTGTATGTTACGGGAGGCATTCTAAGTAGACTAATACTTCTTTGGAAGCAGAGCCTTCATATGTTCATCTGTCCACTCCCTATGCCTGCCATGTAGTATAGCAACAGTATTGAAAGAGAAGGAGCTGGCTTATCAAAGTTACAGGCCATATAGTTCCCAGAGTGGATTGGTGCAGAGCATGGGAAAAAAGCATGGGAAGGTGTCATCACTTGGCAAAGTGAGGCATGGGTGACCCTTGGGCAACATATTTAAGCCCCAAACCCTCTCTCATACCTGGCTACCCACTAAATTTTGCAATGTGCTGTGTCATACAATCTGTTGATTATGTGCTTTTACATTAACTTTTGGCCACTTATGTTTTGCTAAATTGGCCAAGCCACTCAGAATAGTTTGATTCAATTGCCCAGATCTGTGATGAGGACTCATAAGAAAAAAAAAAACAAAAAACAAAAAACAACAACAACAACAACAACAAATGAGAAAATGAGCTCAGGTTCTCTCACAACTAAATGAAATAGTAACTTGAAACAATGGGATATTATTTTAGTCTATCATATTAGAAGAAATATACAGTTTAATTATAACCAATGTGGGGAAATGGGGAGATGGGCACTGTCCTATACATTTGATGACAATGTAGACAGAGAAGAGACAATTTGAGTGTTATTCATCAGGATTTTTTTTTTTTTTGAGACAGGGTCTTGCTCTGTAGTTCAGGCTTGTCTTGAACTCACTATGTAGCCCAGGCTGGCCTTGAACTCAAAAGGATACTCCTGTCTCAGTCTCCCAAGTGATGGAATTATAGCTGTACCCTACCATGCCCAGGTGTCATCAGGATTTTAAATGCATTAACTCATGCCCCTAAAAGTCCTAATCTTGAGATTTATTCCAAAGATATATTTGTATAGATATGCAAAATATATGTTTAAAAGATGTTCATTTCTGTGTTGCCAAGAAGTAACATTTGGAATAATTAGAATGTTTACCAGTGAGGGCCAGGGACCTGACTCAGTGGTTCAGCCAACTTTGTAACCACAAGGACCCGAGTTCGATCTCCAGTACCAAAAAAAAAAATTGACCAGTGGGTACTGTTTATCAACAGGATCAACTGTGGTGGATCCATTCAAAGGACATATATAAAAAAATTTTTTATATATTCTGATTTTGAAAGATAATCCAAAAGTATATTTTAAAAATATAGTAACAAATGAAGAACATATCAGAACAAAATATTTATAACTCTCTAATTACCTCAGAGGACTGGAACTCAGGGCTTAAAAAATGTAATTTTCTTTTTTATACAGTACTTCAAAAATGTTAAAACTTTAAAATTAGCATAGTTCACTGTTTAAAATTTTTTTTAAATCAAGAAATATAATAACCATACAAAAATACATAAAATATAAATGTGTAACTTAATGATTTGTTGAGAATCAACCTCAGCAACTCCAACTCAGGAAATAAATATGACCAATGTCTCAGAAGTCCCTTGCCTTCTCTTTTCTCATCATAAGCTTCTCTCCTTTGTTTAATGCTATCTTGGTTATGTTCTTGCTTTCTTTCTCACATTTTCACATACAATTATGCAGTTTAATTTTATTCATTTTAACCTTATAGAAAGAGAGCAATACACTACATAATGCTATTGTGTTTGCTTTGATCCACTCTTACATTTTTAAGATTCACCCATGCTGGGAGAGATGATAGGAAACAGGGAGGTAGACTTTTTGTTGTTAGCTAAGGGGATCAGGAGATCAGGGAGAAGCGGGGAGGATAAGAGGATCTAAATCATCAAGATATATGTGCCAATTCTCTAAAATAGCTATTACGTATTTCAGACATATACCAATAATTTTTTTAAAAAGTGTTCATCCATGCTGCTGTTGTGTGCATATCTACAGCTGGTAAGTTTCACAACTATAGAATTATAGTTATGAAATATGATACTTGGACACATTCTACTGTAGGTAAGGATTTGGGTCACATTCAGCTTTGCCTGACACACACAATGCTGCTTACATTCTTGTTTCTGTGTCTCAGTGCCCAAAAGCACTAGAGGCAAATTTAAAGATTTAGCTGGGTGTAGTGGCTTATGTCTGCAATTCCTGCACTCTGGGAAGCCCAGGCAGGAGGACTGCAAGTTCAAGTCCAGCCTAGACAACTTAGTAAGACACTGTCTCGAAATAAGAATTGAAAAGGAGCTGGAAATGTAGCTTGGTGTGAAGGTCCTGGATTAAATTTCCCACACTGAAAAAAAAAATTAAAATATGATTTTCACATGGGGATGGGGGGCAGGGAGAGGCTATTTGCTTTGGAAACTAGGGGTCTAGGGAAGGGTAGATGGGTGGTTAATGGGGGGCTGTTGCACTACAGAGAAGAATAACAGCAAGGTCTGGAAAGGCAGCAGAATGTGTCTTCCCAACAACCCCGGGGCTTGTGGTCCCTCTCACTCCCCACTGGACACGTGTCCCCCACCTTGTATTCATCCAGCCAAACGTGCACCAGTCTCAGATAGTTCCGGGCCATGGCTTTCCTGAAGGTGCTGTCACGTGTATGCTTCTTTGAGATATGTCCCACTCGGGAGCAGGGGATTATAAAAAGTTGGCCTCCACACATCCAGATCTAGACAAAAGAAAAACAAAGCACAAGTGGAGGTGTCTTTGCCAGTGACAGGCACCTGGTGGGTTCTGTTTACAAACATCTCATTGGCCAATGTTTATTAAACTTCTTTCACTTAATCCTTATGACAGCCCATGATTACGCCCCACTTTGCAGAAGAGGAAGCTAACACGAAGATGAGTTAAAAGTTTGCCCAGTGACTTGGACCAGGTGAGTGGCAGAGGACAGGGTTCAAGTTAAGGAAGTCTGTTCTGAGGGGCAGCACCCTGAGTGCCAATAACTCTGCTCTTGTGCCATATATTGCCTGGCATAAGTAACTAGAGAAATGCTAGTCCTGCCTGGATTCAGTCATTTATACATCCTTTTGTACTTCAAACATAACACTTATATTTTACTTTTACTTTAGACAGGGTCTCATTACGTAGTTTAGGCTGGCCTCGAACTTGAGAGGATCCTCCTGTGTCAGCCTCCTTAGTGCTAAGATTATAAGTATGCTACCATGCCCAGTTTAACACCTATTTTTAATAACTTTTTTTTCACTGTATGAAGGTATGATAGTCATTGACAACTTGGCAAATATAGGAAAGCACACAGGAAAAAACCAAAATTCACTTCTCATCCCAACATTCTGAGTTAGTCAAAATAACTCAGTTGTGGACATAGATACACAAACACACAACATTAAAATAACTTGCTCTGTTTATCTGATATTATATAAAATTATTTAAAAAGTCTAATGTGTTTTTGGACACTTTGGTAGTTTCCAACTTCTATTATTATAAAAAAGACAATGAAAAATGTGCTTATCCTATAAATCCTTTGCAGGTAACTCACACCCTACAGTGCATTCACCAGGATTCTCCTGATTATTTGAATTCAGCAGCTCCCACATGGTCCCTGTCCAAGCAGTACCAGGTTACTTGGGTCCTGAGTAGAAATGAAAATCCCTGGGTTTAATGATCTCCTGAGCCAGAAGCCAGGGCTGGGGTCCAGCAACTGGGGATTTTTTTTTTTTTTTTTTTATTTTTTTTTTTTTTTTTTCAGGCAGAGTCTTACTCTAATTCAGGCCGGCTTTGAAATCACCAGGGAGTCCAGGCTGGCCTTGAACTAACAGTGATCCTCCTGCCTGAGTCTCACAAGGACTGGGATTACAGGCGTGCCCTACCATTTTAAACTGTTCTTGATGCAATTGTGTTGCACCTTGAGGTGGATAGCAGTATTCTAGTTGACAAAGACCATGTATTCTGGTTCTGTGGATATTTTTTGAGAAATTCTACTTAATTGTTTAGGAAACAGTAACAGGAAATGAAAATCTTTACTAAATACCATACTGGGAAATAACACTCAATCAGCAAGAAGGGTTATTAAAATGGAAAAGCCTAATCAAAAGAGAGTGTTAGAGAAATTAAAGAAGCAGAACTTCTGAAATCACACAAGAAATGATTGATTACTGATATAGCCAACCCCTAAAGTCCTTTAGAAATACCAGAATTCAGCCCAGGGTGGTGGCACATGCGTGTAATCCCAGCACTGGGGAGGCTGAGGCGGGGGGATTGCCATGAGTCCAAGGCCAGCCTAGGCTACATAATGATTTCAAGGCCAGTTTGAACTATGTAGTGAGACCCTGTCTCAAAAAAGGAAAACAAAGAAAAAAAGAAATACCAGAATTCCCCTTTCACTGTCTAGAAAACTCCTCTTCCAGAGTGTAGAGCCTTAAGCCAGACATCCAAAGGTTCTTCTATCAGCCCTGCGATGCTTATGATTAGGAAAATTCTCTCTGAATCTCATTTCCATTTGTACCTGGGTGATATGTAGTTGCTGACTTAAGCTTCTGTTCTGGAAGCACAAGTTGCAAGCACAAGCAATGACAGGGATGAGTTATCTATAATGCTTTATTCTCTTTTCTAAAAAGTGAAAGCATAAAGATATTTGAAAAATTAATATCAGATTCAGAAACAGTGGAGAGCTGAGCTGACTGGATCACAGGACCTGAAGATGAGAATGAGACAGGAAGTAATAGGTTTGGAATGCAGTGTTTATGAGTGCTTATGAATTAGGACAAGTTACTCAACCTCTACATCTGTTTCCCTATTAAAAATAGAGATATCAGTGGCAGCTACCTCACAGGCTTGCTGAGGATTAAGAGTTAATATCTGTAAGACATCATAGCAGTGAACGCCAGCAGTGAAATAATAAAATTTGTTAAATAAATAAAATGTATCATACCCTTTACATCTTTAATATTACTTCTATAGGGAAGTCATGTAAGATACACACCTCCTCCCAAACGAGGATAGGTTCCCCTTTTATATAATCTCATAGTATTCTGTATTTCTTTGTGTTTATCAAAAATATAAATAACTGATACCTCAATGGAATAGACAGCTCATTGTACTGGAAACCACTTTTGTACTGTGTACTGCTATATTTTTGCACCCAGCACTGTGCTTTCCACACTCCATTGCTGACTGAAGAGAGTTATATCTTCTGAATACCCAGGAAGCCACAAAGCTTGACTCTGAGGATGAGCTCCTTAAATAATGGCTAAACTGAACTTTAAAAGAACCCTGAAGGCCAAGTATGGGATTTTGCACCTCTAATCTCAGTACTTGAGAGGCTGAGGCCAGGATTGCTGAACTTCAGGGCCAGCCTAGGATACCATAGGGAGTCTCTGTCTCAGAAAAAAAGGGGGCGGGCGCTAAGGGGAACTATAGGTTGGGTTTTTCTGCCAGTCAGGTGTTAGTTACAGCTGTGCAGGCTGGTGTAGGAATGCTATTACAAGGATTAGCAAGGCTGCAGCCCAGACTCTGGCTGATCTGAACAGCTGTGCCCTCCCTGCCAGGTGTTCTCCCTCCAAGGACGACTAGCTCAGGGCAGAGGTTCCTTGGCACCATCCTGGCCAGCAGTGTGACTTCCGCTTCCCAGGTGCGATGTGGCTGGAGGCCAGAGCCTCTGAGAGCAGCAAATGGATAAAAGTCTGCCCAGGGAGCTGGGAGCCGCTGGACGCCGGAACTGATGGCGTAGGCCTCGGGGGAGGGGAAGTTAGGGCTGTGGATTCCCTGGAATGAGGAGGCAGGGAAATAAAGATGCGTGTGCAGTTGTGCAGATGATTCCTAGGAAAGACAGCCAGAGACAGCTGCAAGTGTCAATTGCTTTACCGGCTAGCAATTTATACATTTGTAGGGGGCCAGGGATTTAGCTCAGTGGTGCGGTACCTGCAGCTAGCAAAGTTATGATTTCAATCCCCGGTATCGCAAAAAGAAAAGAAAGCAATTTACATATTTGTTTATGAAAACAGACCTAAGTATACTTAAAAGATACAAAGGAGCTATTAGGAATGGAGTGGTTGAAAACGCTGGATCGGGATAGTTAAAACATTAGAATAGCATGTTTGCTATCATTTTCTATATAAGGGAAGGCACAGACATAAAAAGGAACTCACTTGCTTTTTAAATATGCATGTGTCACTTGCAAAATTGACTCCATTTTGAGACACAGGATGTGCTTATTATTAGGTCCCAAATGGGGGAAATTCCTTTTACAAAATTCTCAGAGCGCAATGCAATACACTAAGGGATCATCGACTAAACGGAATAAACAGTGGCAAAGGCATAGGTGTCCTAAAATACTGCCAGGGTCAGAAGGGAACGGATCGCCGGTGGGGGAGGGGCGAAGCAATGGGAACAAAGGACCTCGCTGGTCCTGCGTGCATCTGAAGCATTATGGAAGAAGTTGGTGCTTAAAAAGTTAGAGGGTGGAGCGGGTAAAGGGAGGGCAGGGGAATGGGGAAAATATAAAACCCAAGATACACCACGTAAAGGTACAAGATCCCAGCGATGGATGTAACTGTACTGTATACCTAAAATGTACCAATAAACTTAGCGAAAAAGAAAAAGTTAAAGATGGATGGACTAGCCAGCCAAAGGAAGAAGGAAGGGAGAGAAGAAAAAATCCCCCACCATGGGCCAGAGATTTAGCTCAGTGGCACGATGCCTGCTTTGCAAGCACAAGGTCCTGAGATTGATCCTGAGTTTGATCCCTGGTACCGCAACCCCCCCAAAAAAATTTTTTAAAAGAATATAACTACAGAGGCAATCAAAAGCATCTACAGAGTTACAGTACATACAATTTCCATGCCCTACATTAAAACAACAAAACATATGGTAAGAGTAGTTAATATCTTATTAAACGCTATCAAGTTTTTCAAGGGACTCCATAAATTATTTACTGTGTGTGACACTGGAATGCTACTAGATGTCCAGTAAAATTTAGTATGATTATCACAGCATTTTCTATGACCTAAAGTTGGATTGCACTGTTTATATACAAAGGTAACTATTCATTTATTATTTATTTTTTGAGAAAGGGTCTTGCAATGTAGCCCAGGTTGGCCTCAGACTTGCAGCAGCCCTCCTGCCTCAGCCTCCCAAGGGCTAGGATTATAGGCATGAACCACCATGCTTGGCTACAAAGGTAACTAATTTAAAACAACAAAATCTGAGTTACCCTCAGTGAAAGTTCCAAATTCTCTCCTCCCCAAAGATCCATGTCCTTGTCGTACTGTCCAAGTTCATAAAAATAGGGCCGATATATAGCAAAAATTCCACCAGCCATTGCAGGTGACCTGGTAGAGGGACATGAAATATTAAAAACAGATGCTGCAGAGACAATAATCATTAGTTTTCCTAGAAATTGTTTGACTATTAGTGAAACTAAAGTTAAAAATTAGTAAACAGTTTTATCAGTACAGTGGACCTTTGACTTATGAACTTAATTTGCTTGCGAGGACTAGTTGTAACTCAAATCGGTTGTAAGTCAAGACTATTTTTCCCATAAAAAATAATGGAAATATCCATAATGTGTGCTAAACCTCCCAAATCACCCCTTAAATTTTTCACAACAAAATGGATTGTATAATGTGCGTAATGTACCAGAAACACCAGTAAGTTTCCTAGTGTATTCACCAAAAGTTATAACGTGCCTAGTTTACCGGAAACAATAATTTCATGCTGTATTTGCCATTCTAGTTGACATCTTCGGCTTGCAGGAAGGGCACATGAAATGGAAGATGGTTATTGTTTGGAAGGAGAGTCACCTTCCATAAGAACAGGAATCTGGCTCTCAGGTGTCCTTTCTCTCCTTGGGAGAGTTTATACCCACTCGGACCTGCTCCTGACCACTAGGTCTCAACCACTTCAGAACTAAAAACTGGCCTAAGGTTGCTGTTTCTGTCTTTTCTCAAACACTGTTCTGTAGTATGACATGACATTGTCACTAAGCAAGTGAGTGCAATGATCAGCTCTTTTTCTGTCTAGGCAGATCTTCTCTACAAATGTTTGTAGCTCTGTCTCTTTTTTAAGGTTTTACTTTATTTCAGAAGAATTTTGCCGCACTAATGCTTGATACTCCCTCTCCTGTTCCGAAAGCTCCTCAGCCACCACTCTCTGCTGCTCAGCCGGAAGTCTCTGAGGTTCCTCGGGACAGTCCCTGAGTGTTCCTCCACTACTTCCTCAACAGCACTGTCTATCTGCAAGCCTACGGACTCCACTACGATGACGGTGTCATCAACCTCAGGCTCAGGCTCCTCTACACAGCCTTCAAAGTCTCTCCTATATAATTTTAGGTCACACGTTCTTCCAGGCGATATCAGTGTCTTTAGAAAGACACTGGCCCAGGATTTGTCAATTAACCCCGCACTGGAAATGATGTTGTAGTGTTCCTTCCAGGACTCTTTGAGGATTAAATCTGTATCTGAGACCATCTGGAAGCACTTCAGGAATAGTTCCATGGTATATAGCTTGAAAAAAAATATATATATACATATATACTGGGGCTGGGCGTGGTGGCACATACCTGTAATCCCAGCACTCAGGAGTCTGAGGTAGGAGGATCACTGAGTGTTCAAGACCAGCCTGGGCTACATAGTGAGTTCCAGGGCAGTCTCAACTACACAGCGAGACCCTGTCTCAAAAAAACCAAACCAAACAAAATAAATATACACCAGGGATCAAATTAGATCCTTGTGCTTGCCAGGCAGGCACAGCACCACTGAGCTACATCCCTGGCTTGTGTATAGATTCTTAAAATCAGCTGTAACCTGCTGGTCCATAAGCTGTACTAGAGGAGTTGTATCAGGTGGGAGGAACTTGAATGAGAGCCATGTGAATTCTCCAGCCGATTCTTCTTTCAAATCTTGTGGGTGAGCAGGAGCAGTGTCCATGATGAGGAGAGCTTTGAGTGGTAAACCTTTGTTCCCTCTCTCTCTCTCCACACACACACGCACACACACACACACAAACACATATTTTTTTTGTACTGGGGATCGAACTCTGGTCCTTGAGCTTGTGAGGTAGGCAGCACCACCAATGAGCTACACCCCTGGCCCTAGATATTTCTTAACAGTAGGAAAGAAAGCCTCCTGGGTACACTCAAGAAAAAGTACTCTTGTTACCTGGACTTTCTTGTTAGTTCTCCACAGGACTCCTAGCCTATTCTACATGGCTTTATGTTTTCTAAACACTCTAGGGGTCTCAGGGATAAACTAGGAGAGGCTTTACCTTGAGATTACCAGTCTCATTGGCACACAGCAATAAGGTCAGCCTATCCTTCATAGGCTGGCTTTTTCTTCTCTTCCTGAGTAATGTATGTTCTCCTGGGCATTTTCTTCCAGAAAAGAATAGTTTCATCATAGTTGAAAAGTTGATGAGAGCAAAAGTCATTTCTCTGTGTCATTCTTTTGAAGTGGTGCATGTTGGGGCTAGGGATTTAGCTCAGTGGCACTATGCCTGCCTTGCATGCACAAGGTCCTGAGTTCAATCGTTGGTACCAGAAAAAAAAAAAGTAGCACTATGAAGTGGTGTATGTAATTTTCAGCATCCCTTTTGTCAGCACTGGCTGCTTCACCATGCCTAGTTACACTACACGCTCTAGCTCTTACTTTAAAATGGTGAAGCCACTCCTTACTGGCATGAAATATTTTATCATTATCACTTGTTGATGAATTATCCTTTATGAGATCTGCATTTATGGCCCTAGCTTTTTCACAAATCATAGACTCAGATAGGACATAACCTGCCATCTGCCTTTTGCTTATTCACACTGAAAGCCTTTCTACCTCATCTAACACTATTGATTGTGACTTACTAATCTGAGTAACACCTTCAGCACCACTAGCTTTCTTATATAAATCTTTTCTAAGATTGTCAAGATGGTATATTTCAACATGTTTGTACGTATTAGCAAGATTGGTCACATAAATGCCACTGTCATATTTCTTCACAATTTCCTTCTTCTTTTTTATTGTAATTGCTGTCAATACCTTCCCTTTCTTCCTTGGCTTCTTTTCTAGCTTTTTGGGGGCCATTTTGACAGCGGTAATCATAGCAGTTATATGAAGCACTGACTGAAATTACATCTACGTGAGTCTGGGCTCAGACTGATGCTTACCTATGCTTACATGTGATCTTCTGGCATCTCAAGTCTTTGTTTAGAACCACACCAGTGGCTGCCACTTGGGTCATAACTCAAGACTTTGGTCATAAGTTAAAACTGAAATTCTGTTGTTCATCTAAGTTGTTCATAGGTGAGGCTTGAGGGTCCACTGTACTCTATCTTAAAATACATTTAAGTATGTAAAATTACTATATTAAAAACCACAACTACATAAAAGAATTGGTTCATTTAATATCCTCAACAGTCCTATGAAGTGGGTCTTACTAATATTATTGTCATTTTACAGATGAGGACACCGAGTCTGAGAGAGGTAATTGACCCAAATCTGAACTGCCTTAATACCCTTTCCAGAGCCACTGTTCACTTTGTGGTGTGTGCACAGTGTCTCCTGCTGATGCCATTATACACAGCAGCCCTAAACAGATAAAAGTGATGGCCAGTGGGACTCGTCTTTCACCAAAATGAAACGCTGTTTCTCAAAGTACGGACAGAGCCTGCATAGCATTGCAGATCCTAGAGAATCAAAGCTTATAGATCATCTCTATCTGTGAAGACAAATGTCAAATGACATTCACATATATTGAGTACTAAGGGATCCTATTGACAATGACTGATTACAGGTATTCAGCATTAGGGCATGGACGAAGATGGTTAGGAATGGTGTTCTGAGAGATTTAAGATGTGTGCTAAACCTTTGAGAAAAGGGCCTTACAAAAGGGAGCAGAGAACCAAGACCACCCTGAAAATGAAACCACGCAGCTGACTGTACTTCCTCAGGGTTCCTGTAAAGAGTACTATATCATTTCCCCAGGAGCTCTTCCAGTTCTTAGTCTTTATTTTTTCCTTGAATAAAGAGGCAGAGCTGCAGCTGAAGGTCACAACCTTCAAATTTGGAACAATGAACTGAGAATTAAAAGCAAGTTGCACTGTTCTCTCACTGAAAAATATACTTTCCAAGGCTAGCAATATAGAAACATCACATTCATCACAACTTAGGACATTCTACATGGAAATACTTGGATAAATATTTTATATGTGATTTGGCTAAGATACCCGCTCCCTCCAGGCTAGCTACAGTGTGGGCATTTGGTTCATTGGTCATATGCAATGTGCCCTTGAGAACAAAATTCTGAAGATAAGCAGCAGAAATCAGAGAAGTACTTACTACTCTTCTTTTTGGGGGGGGTGCTTGTTTCTTTTTATTTATTTTTAGACATGGTTTTGCTATGTATTTCAGGCCTTGAACTCATTATGTTGCATAGGCTGGTCTCAAACTCATGGCAACCCTCCTGCCTCAGTCTCTTAAGTACTAAAATTACAGGAGTGTGCCACCTGGCATATCCTGGTTTTCTGAACTTGGGTGAAATGTACATTTTCAGTTGAAGGAACTTACCACCTACCAAATTCTAGTATTCAAAATTTAATCCAACATCCAGAGATAGTATTAGCCAGACACAGCATATGCCTGTGATCCCAGCTACTCTGGAGGCTGAGGCAGGAGAATCACAAGTTTGAAGCCAGCCTGGGCAACACAGTGAGACCCTGTCTTAAAACAAAATACATTTATCTTCATTATCCCAAGGAATGAAAGGAATAATCCTTGAAAATTATTTTTTGTTTTAGGTCCCATTGCACAAAGGTATTTTCGCATAATCAGAAGAAAGCTCACCGGATTGGCATAGTCGGACCTTCCGGGGAGTCCATCTCATAAGAGAAAACGTTATCCCATTTAAAATGGAGATTCCAGTCAAAGGCTCCTCTCGCAAGAGGAGAGGGTGTGTACTGCAGGCTCATACTGTCAATGACGTCAATGACAGGGCACACGACCGTCTTGGAGTCCCTGGTGATGGCAGATAGCAGGGGCTCCAGCCAGACCCTGTTGACCTCGGAGTGGCTGTCGAGGAACACCAGCACCTCGCCTGGGGAGGCAAGAACAGACTGGCCTTAGTGCTCAGGGATGCGACCCAAGTCCCAGCTTGATGCGCTATTTGCCGAGCGCTGCTTATGTGTTTGACTCTTTGATTGCTTTGAGAGAAGCAAAATGGAAAACAGTAATTGTAGCTCGGCCTTCAGTGATCTAGTTAATTTAGCAATTTAATTTTTATGGAGAGGGTGCCTTCTTAGGCATCAGCCTTGTGCTTGGGATGAAAGGAGGCCTAACTGCTTTTGCTAGTGGGCTCAAACACTATGACTCAGAAAATATGGGAATCATGGGCGGGGCCAAAGTGCACTCGATGGACTCAAATTGGAAAAGACCTCAAAATTCAGGAATTCCCCCCAATTGTTTCTTCTGTCATCCCTTTTCCACAGGTACCTCATTTGATGTAAATTTCCCCACATAATTTTTTGTAAAATTCTCTTATAATCATCTTGCTCTAAGTGAAGCCCATGTCTAGAAGACCAGCTATATTTAGCACACGCCTGTGATCTCAGCTACTCTGGAGGTTGAGGCCTGAGGATCCCAATTTTGAAGCCAGCCTGGGCAACACAGTGAGAGCTTGTTTCAAAATCAAATAAAATGGGCTAGGCAATGTACTCCATGATAGAGCACCTGCCTGCCTCGCACAAGGTCCTGGGTATAATCTCCATTACCACAGGCGCGCGCGCGCGCGCGCGCGCACACACACACACACACACACACACACACACACACACGGAGTTAAAGTTAGCTGCTATAATGAAGCACCAGTGCTTTAGGGGGAAAAGCTGCTGAGTGTTAACATCCATTCAAGTTCTTTGTTTCAGATGAGGCCTTCTAAAGAAGACCTTAGGGAACTGATTTAAAGCAGCCCCAAACTGCCCGCCCCTCTTCTAGGCTACCTAGAGCAGGGATCCCCAAGCCAGGCTTCCTGTGTTTCCAGCCCTCCCGAAGCCCACATCACGGTCTGAGCGCCACCTCCTGGCAGATCCGCCAAGCGTTCGATTCCGCAGGAGCGCGGACCCGCTCTGGAATCATTTAAAAGCCGTTCTCTCCTTCCCAGTCCCTGGAAAAATGGTCTCATGAAACTGGTCCCTTCCCTTTGCCATTTAAACGTGAAATTACGAAGAAGCATGATTTTGACGTGGGCGTACACAGGACCCTGCCCCGTTTAGACGCGCGACAAATCCCTCCGGTATGAACACCCACATCTCCCCTTCCTGCCCTGGTCTGGGGAGACACTGCTTTGGAAGTCTCCCCCGGTGCTCTCCTGCCTCGCTGCAAGTAATGAACCTTTCTCCGCTTTTTTATCTCCAGGTTGGACTTTTGGTCATTTGCCTTCTTTTCCTTGCAGACCGCTCCTGACAGCTCCTCACACCCTGTGGGAGCCACACGGACAGACTGACAGGCAGAAGTGAATACAAAGGGTGAAAAAGATTGGGGTGAGAATGATGGGGAGACACAGGGATTTGCTCCTCCCTTATCTGAGGTTTTACTTTCTGTTTTCTGTGGTCAGCTGCAGTTTGAAGATATTAAAGAGAAATTTACAAAAATAAACAATTCATGTTTTAAATCACACAAAGTTCTGAGTGGTGTGGTAAAATCTTACAAGTCCCGCTCTGCCTCACCCAGCAAGGGGTTCACCCCACTGTCCTGTGTATCATGCTGTCAAATGTCACAGGTCGGCTGTCCTGGTGTTGCACACTGTGCTTGGGTTCAAGGAACCTTTATTTTACTTCATAATGGGCCAGGGCACTAAGCTGCTGCATAAAATCAGGGCAGATGACCCTGGTGCCATTCGTCAGCACCCAAGGGTGTGCAGGAAAGAGTGCAGCACTATGCAGAGGGGGATAAAAATGAACTTAAAAAGAATGAATATACATGGCTGGCACGTGGTAGGTGATAAATAAATCCTTGATTGAATGAATGAGTTATTGAGTGCATTAATGATGAGTCACTGGCTGCTGCCTCACCTGCCCACACAAGACTCCACAGCTTCTGATCTGGGAGAGGCTGGCTCAGGCAGCCCCCCAACAATCACTGGGGTAGCTGGGGGCAGGGGCCAAAGGCAGGTAGGTAGATAGGTAGGCACAGGCAAAACTACAAGGAGAGATGGGTAGATAAATCCACAGTCGTTGTTGAAGGCTTTAATATAACAAAATCAAATGTACTTATAGAACCTCTGACTACAAAAAGAAAATATGCATTCTTTTAAAATATACATAGATGTTTTGGAAAATGGATCTCGCTTTAAGACACAAAGGAAATGCCAATTTCCAGCCACAGTACTATTAAGGTGGTGATAAACAAAAGATCATTTTTTAAATCCCCTAAGTTTTTTCCCTTAGGTTTAGAAACTTTAAATTTCACCTCCCCCCAATCTCAGTTAGAGAGGAAACCAAAAAGCATTCCCAGTGCCTGGACAATTTTATGTAACTTTCCAAATACAGATCATCAGCCTTATGTAGATTTTTAGGGAGGAAAAAAAACACACCATTTACTCTATGAGAACAAGAAGGCAAAGTATAAGAAAAAAGTACAAAAAAGAAAACCATAAAGTAATTTTACTTTTGAACACAGATGCAATGTGTTTGTATGAGACAGAGAGGGCTGGGAGAGAGAATGTGTAGAGATTTACGTCTCTGTCTAGTGAAGAGAGGAAGACTTCAAATGGGGCCAGAAGTGACGCCACCCTGAGTCCAGGCTCCCGCACCCCAGTCCCAGTGGTTCCTCTGGGGCCTTCAGCACCCAAAATGCCACCTCAGTGTTTCTGTCCAGGGAGCTCAGCCAGTGATGGGGCAGACATCGTGACCCTTGCAAAAGAAGCTTTCATTTCAAATGGCAAACTGACATGTTTAGAAGCAGTGTGAGGCTCAGGCCTGCAGACACAGGGAAGGTCTCCAAGGGAACGGAGACATCTGTGACCAGCCATGTGCCCACATTCCTGGCGATTCCATACCTGAAGCGTGTGATGCTCCGATCATCTTTGCTCGAATCAGCCCCTCTCTCTTTCTGTTTCTTACCAATTTAACCTTTCCCCTCAAACTTTCCAGGTAATAATCGAGCTTTTCTTTCAAATCACCTGGAAAAAACAACCAATACTTGTCAAGTTATGAACTGTAATGAGAGAAATTAAAACAATTTATTATTGGCTTCTGTTCTTCAGCTGTTGCTCTTGCTTGCTGCCTGCTGCCATCTGCCTGCCCTGGCATGCCATAGACCATTTCTCTTCTGTGATGCCCTTCTGCTATGCTACCCTGCTTTTGAATCAGCCAATGATGAACTGAAACCTCTATAAACTAAATAAACCTTTCCTCCTTTAAAAAGATTTATTATCATAATTGATTTCTAAAAACCAAGCCATTCAATACAAGTTCTAACTGCAAAAGAAATTTCTATGCTTCTGGTGAAATATCTCTATTTTTTTAAAAATCATTATAAAAAATTTTAATAGCTGGGGATTTAGCTCAGTGGTTCGGTGGCCTGCCTTGCAAGCTCAAGGACTTGAGTTCAATCCCTGGTACAAAAAAAAAAATTTAATAGAGAAAGTATGAATGACAGCACTTTGGTGCAATCTGATTATGCTATTATCCACACAAACTGCATTGTAATCACAATGATTTTAACTTTGTAGCGATACTCAGGGAAGTTTTCAGACTTGGGCCTTAAATTCCTCATCTGCAAGAAGGGATGCTCACCATGCTCCTGGCAGCCCTCTGTGGAGACAAAGAAACATCACCCAGAATAGAACTTAGTACCCAGAGTCACTCAATATTTGGAGGCGGTGACCAGGTGAGATGGACCAGGTGCCCCGGAATTCTAAATCCCAAGTCCCAGGAGTGAGGAGCATTGGGCACAGGTTTGTGGTCATTGTGGTAGAAGGCAGGACCCCTTTCCTTGTCTTTAAGAGTTCCACAGCCCTGCAGGGAGTGATGCAGGCTGCTTAGCCTCACAGAGGGGTGGGCAGCTTCTCAGCACAGCTTTCTGAGGACCTCGCTAGCAGCTGGAGCAGGGGACCCTGGGAATCAAACCTTTGGGCAGATAAAGTCAGTGGGAGCTTGCTGGGGTTTTCAGAAGATGTCACCACATTGCTAGCTGGCAATCAAGAGGGACCAGGATGATGGGAAAGGTGGTTGACAGCAGGTTATGGACATGACATTTATGTAACTTAGTGGGGCCAGGTCCCCAGGCCTCTGTTCCCTGCTACCCTAAGCTGAGGAAGTCAACTGGAAGAACTGATAGACAAAAGCCTGGGATGACAAGCATTGGTCCAAAAGTATCCTGTGATCCATCATGAAGTCATTGGGAACAAATGCGGGTTTCAATACTGAATCCCATAAGAACAGCTCCCTGTGTCTGTCTCTGAGGTTCTACATGGGGCCAAGGCCAAAGTCCATGGGAAGCAGAAGTAGGTGTTGGTCTGGCAGCACACTTGGTGACCCTGCTAGTCTCTCATGAAAGGAACCAAAATGCACAATGAAAGTATGAGCACTTGCCAAAGTTAGGGACTGAAAGTTTGTGCTCTTCCCCCAAATACACTTGTCAAAATTTAATCCTCAGTTGGACAGTATTTGGGGATGGGGACTTGAGGAGGGGTCAGGTCATGAGGGTGGGGCCCACATGAACACGATTAGTGCCCTCAGAGGAAGAGGCCAGAGAGCTCATTTGATTTCTTTCTGCCATGTGAGGATACAGTAAAAAAGACATCTGTCTCAACCAGAAAGAGGACCCTCAACAAGAACCTGACCCTGTAGGCACCTGGTCTCAGACTGTCCCCTTCTAGAACTGTGAGAAACAAATGTCTGTTGTTTAAGCCACTGGTAAATGGTGTTTTGTAAGAGCTGTCAAGCTAAGACACAAGCTATGTCTCCAACTCATGACGAGGGTCCACAAGGCTGGCAGAGGTGGCCTAAGGTCCTTCTTGGAGCTGTATTCCCTGGACTCTTGCATTATGGGCTCAGCCTGTGTGTGGCTTTACTGTGACTTCTTACCAAACATGCCTAGCACCATGAGCAGCAGAGGCAGCCAGGACAGCTCTCCACAGCCTTCCCACACACAAGAGTGGAAGTAAACAGTCTTGTGCCCCCTGGTGTTGGTGATGTCCATGGGAGTGATGCTAATAAGTGACAGAGGCAACCCATAAAATCTAAAATTCCAAATGGAGTTTCACTGAGTCACACTCCGGAGGCACCTCGTGTCTCTCCCTACAGGGTGAACTTCTGAGATGTCCTCTTCCTCTGCCCATTCTTCTGGTTCACAGCTGTCCAAGACCACATCATTGCTCCAGCACTCCTGGCTTGCCTAAGGTTCACACTCAGTTGTGAAACAAACAAATAATTTTAGATTCTAGGGGTGCTTAACCAGATTTTGTGCTCATATCGCAATTCTTTTAAAACCAATAAGTCTAGAGGAATAAGCACTTACGTGTTCATTGGTCCAATTAGAGTGCTTTCATGTATAGTACCTGGATCGGGTCATTTCCTCACTGGTTCTGCATATTCGTGAGATAGGTTCAAACAATGCCCTTCACAAGTAGTTTCCTTTTATACCTTGAGCTTCATATCCATCCATGCCCTCCTCACCCTACCAACTCTACACTCTTGCATAAGCTACATGAAACACAGAAGTAGCAAAAACTCACTGTGCTTTCTCTTGTCTCTAGGCCTTTACAAGGTGCTTCCTCTACCTAAAACACCTTTCCTTCCTCTCCACCTGGATGACTCATCCTTCCATCCTCCATTTACACATCACTTCTTCCAAAGCCATCTCAAAAGATGAGGCTGGTACCCCTGGTTGATCTAGTGGAAGCCCCATGAGGACAGGGTATATGTCCACCGTATGCACCAAGAGCACCCAGCACCACACCTGCCTCCACACCTGCAAGAGCAACCTTGTAGAAAAGGTGCTCAGCCCACCAGGCAAGTGCCACTTTCCCAGCAGGATGGACAGTCGACACCCCATCTTACCAAATTCGCTTCCATCATCCACCAAAATGATTTCTTCAAGGAGATGGAATGGCGTGAGAGTCACAACGCTGGACACTGTCCGAAACAAGGCATTAAATTCCTCATTATAGAAGCAAATGATAATACTGGCGGTCGGTAGGTAGGCCGAGTAATAGTTGTGAAGACATCTGCTGCAATAAAGGAGAAACTGAATCATCTAAAAGGCGTGAATGTTTGGGCTCTTGTTCAAATATCTTCCCTGATCTTCACCTCATATTTAAATTGATGATTATGACAATGCAATGACAGGACATCTGAAAATCTAAAACTGAAGGTGCAAAATATTAACTTGTATGTTGTTCCAATACTTCTGAAATTATTTACTCCTTCTTAGTTGTTCTTTCCTGACACTCTATTTTGATAAGTTAATTCTACTTTAAATATAGCCTAAATATAAATTATACCCATATTTTAGCTTCTGTTAAAATAAATCACTAAACTTACACACTGAAGGATCACATTAAATTTATTACTGGCAAGAAAGCAGACACACAGACCAATGGAAGAGACTAGAGAGCCCAGAAACAAGATACTGTGCTATGGCCAACTGATTCTCAAGAAAGATGCCAGGAACACACTGTAGGGAAAGAGCAATCTTCTTAATAAATGGTACCTGGTAAACTGAAAATCTATACATACAGAATGAAATTAGACACTCATCTCATACCACACACAAAAATGGACTCAAGGTACATTAAACATGTAAACACAGCACTTGAAACTATAAAATCACTACAGAGAACATAGAGGAAAAAACCCATGACCTTGGTCTAGGCAATGATTTTTTGGATATGACTGCAAAGTCATGGCAGCAAAACATAAATGGGACTGTGTCAGACTAAAAATTGTCTGCACAGCAAAAGAACAATCAGCAGAGTGGAGCAACAACCCCCAGAAAGACAGAAAATACTGCAAGCAATACATCTAATAAGAGGTAAACATCCACACTCGATAGTGAGAAAACAAATCACTAGATTTTTAAAAATTGGCACCCCCCCCAACAGACATGTTTCAGAAGAAGACAAATCGCCACTAGGTATAGGAAAAAGAGCTCAGTATGAGGGAAGTGGAAATTAAAACTATGATGAGCTGTCACCTCACATGTGTTAAAATAGTTATTGTCAAAAATGAAAGACAGCAAGTGTTGATAAGAATGTAGAAGAAAGAGAAACTTAGTTCACTGCTGGTAAGAAAGAATGTTATGCATCCAGTGGAGAATGGTGTGAGCCAGCTACTCCACTTTTGGATCCAAGGTTGTGGAATCAGTAGGCTGAAAAGCTACTTGTACTTCCATGGTCTTCAGAGTGTTATTCACAACATTCAAGGTGCACAATCAGCCTAAGCATCCACCAATGGATACATGAATGAAGAAAATGAGCTGTATACACACAAAGGAATACTATTAAACCTTTAAAAAGAAAGCAATCCAGTCATTTGTGACATGGATGGATCTGGAGGACATTACATTATGTGAAAATAAGGCAGGGACAGAAACACAAATAGTGCACGATATCTCCTGTATTAGTCAGTTTTTCCATTGCTGGACGAAATATCCAACACCTACAATCTCCAGGAGGAGAGGTTTAATTTGACTCACGCTTTGGGGTGTTCAGTACAGGGTTGGTTGGTTCCAAGGCAGATAAGGCCTCGTGTAAGGGCTTAGTGGAAGAAAGTTGCTCAGTTCATGATAGCCAGGAAGCAAAGAGAAGGGGGGAGCTGGGGAGGGAACTAGATCTTCCCAAGTCACACCCCTGGTGACCGCCTCTCCCAACCAGGCCCCACCTCCTAATAGGGCAATTAGCTATGAAGTCGTTACTAGATGAAGCCATTAATGAATATGGCGCCTCATGATCCAATCATCTTCCAAAAGCCCCTCTCTGAACACATGGGACTTTTGGGGAACATTCTAGATCTGAGCTATAACACTACATCCATGTGGAATCTAAGACAATCGAACTCCTAGAAGCAGAGATTGGAAGAGTGGCTACTAGGGGCTGGAGAGGAGGGGAGGATTGGGAAACTGTTGTCAAAAGCTATAAAACTTCAGTGAGATGAGACAATAAATTCAAGAGATCCATTGTGCAACACAGTGACTATAGTTAGTGACAATATATTGTGTACTTGAAAATTGCTAAGAACAGATTTTAAACATTCTCACCACATACAAAATAAATATGTGAGATAATAATATGTCATTAGCTTGACTTTAGCCATTATACAATGCACACACATATCAAAACAATGTTTTATGCCATAAACACATACAGTTTTTATTTTCAATTAAATTGTAAGAATTAAATTAAAGTCAAAGCTGAAATGGAAGTTTCATTTAATGGAATTATATGGTTACTACAATAAAAGCCTAAAATCTACTCAGACTCCAGATAGTGCAGCTACTTCTAGCAAATTAAAATATCTTTTAAATATAGCAAGATTCTTTGTTATAGAGTTGAATTTCCTGCTAAGTTAATATTTTGAATATTACAACTGCTAGGACCACTTCTTTTCTAGGATAACTCTCTAAATTTTTCATTTTTCTTAACAATTATGTGATAGAGTAAGGGGAGCAAAGGAGTCACACCATTTTAGATGAGATTTAGGAGGAAGAAATAATGAGTAAAATTCATAACATATAAATATTCAAAAATATTGACCTTCCTATGTGGTAGTTAAATATTTGGTTGATTAAAAAATTGTTCTTTAATCCCAGCACTCAGGAGGCTGAGGCAGGAGGATCGCTGTGAGTTCGAGAACAGCCTGGGCTACATAGTGAGTTCCAGGTCAGTCTCAACTACGTAGTGAGACCCTGTCTCAAAAAACCAAAAAAAAAAAAAATTGTTCTTTGACTCATACTGTATTGTATCATTTGGATAAATTTTAATTCTTTTCCTTTTATTATGACCCAGAGTGATTGTGTCAGCATATGCAAATATGACGTCTCTTGTGCATGCCACAGCTCGAGTGGTATTTGTGGCTTCAAACATTTGTGTTACACATACATCACAACATGGCAATATGACCCACTTCCTGTTTCCTGGAAAGTGGTGTTTATCTCCATGTTACTGGAAGGAATCTATATTCCTTAACTTATATACTTTCCTTTTGATATATGGTTTTGTTTTGGTACTGGAGATCGAACTCAGGACCTTGCACTTGCAAGGCAAGTGGCGGCACCACTGAGCTAAATCCCCAGCCCTATACTTTCCTTTTGTTAAAGGAGACTGTCCATCCTCTTTGTTTGAAAACCACTAGAACCTACATGATATTAAAAAGACATTAACACATACATGCTACAGCCCTGAGGACATTGTACAGAGAGAAATAAGCCAGTCAGAAAAATGACAAATGTTGTGTGATTTCACTTGTTTGAGATTCCTGGAGCAGTCAAATTCTTACAGACAGAAGGCACCACGGTGGTTGCAAAAGTATAGGAAGAGGGAAAAGAAGATGGAGTTGTTTGTTGGGTCCAGTTTTGATTTGGGATGATGGAAAACTCTGGAGATGGACAGGGTGATGGCTGCACACCAATGTGAATGCACTAATAGCTAAAATGGCAAGTTGTACATTATGAGTTTACCACAAATTTTTTAAACAGTCATCAATAGAAATGATGGAAGGAACAGTGAAAGTGAAGGAGCAGTTTCACTGGAAGGGGAATTTCCCCCTCTGCATTCATTGTTAACATTGCTGTGATTGGGTTGTCCTCTGTCACTGTGTTTTATTCTCTCAAAGGAATTTGGGGAGGGAGCATTCAGCTCTGATTCTCCCGCCTTCCCCAAACCTTTCTGTTAAGACAGAACTTTTTGTATGACAGAAACCACCTGATTGTCAGCTGTGGTGGATTGAATAAACAATAAAACTAAAAATATGTAGCAGTTGGAAGAAAAAGAATAGGTAGATGTCTGCAACATCTTCTATTGGGATGAATCCTTCTTTGGCCAGAAGCCCTTATTGTTAATTGAGTAATGAGACCTGCAAGTGACTTAATTCTTGGAATGCTCTAGAACACTCTGTGATGATGAGATGTGCTCTCTCTTCACTCTACACCTTAAAATCTTGAAATAGGATCTCAATATTATGAGACTTGAAATCTTAAAAGTAGGACTGTATATTACAAGACCTATAATGTGCTGAAGTTAAAATCTGGTTAGTAACTGTTCTTGCTTTTGTTTTTTAACATAGAAGGAACACACCTTTTATGCCTGGTGTCTGGCACCTCTCTCTCGTGGCCCAAACTTCTACTGACAATGGCATTAAATCCATATTTTAAAAATCCATCTAAAAGCTCTGGGTCTGAAAAGTTGTCTGCAAGAAAAGGTAATTAGAGCCATATAAGTAAAGGTTATTATCACAGAGATGCAAGACAATAAGAACAACTCTATCCAGAAGGTACTTCTTTTTTTTTGGTTTTTTGGTTTTTTTGTTTGTTTGTTTTTGAAACAGGGTCTCACTATGTAGTTGAGACTGACCTGGAACTCACTATGTAGCCCAGGCTGGTCTCAAACTCACAGCAATCCTCCTGCCTCAGCCTCCCAAGTGCCAAGTGCCAGGCATATGCCACCATGTCCAGCTCCACGTTATTGAAAGTAGAGTTTATTTCTCCAGCTGGAGAGAAGAGAGGTTTGCTAGCAGCTGCACTCTTGTGAGGGTGCCGAGTCTCTGGTGTGCGAGATAAGAGGCCTGCGCTGGGGCTCTAACCCCGCCTAGAATGTGCTCCTTTTGAGGTAGAGTCATTTTCTTGGAATTGACTCTACCCCAGATGATACGGTTAAAGGTGGAATCACAAAGTATTTACATAAACCAAATGTGTTAATTATTTTTCTCTCATTGCTGATACAAAATACCCAACATCCGAAGTTGAAAGGGAAGGGTTTTATTTGGCTTACAGTTCACAGAGGTTTCAGTCCATAATCAGCTGACTTCAAGGCTGGGATGACAAACAGACATCACAAAGGAGAAACATCATGGCAATCACAAGGCAGCAAAGGTAACAACGCGGTTTAACAGCATCTTTCTGCCCCTTTTATCTTATTCAGATTACTGGGGTTAGGGCAGTGCCAAACCAATCCCTCACATGCAGTGGGGTTTAGTGATCACACACCCTTCACCCCAGTATCACACCTTCCAGATTCAACTACCTCTGAAAAGGAAAGTCCACCTCATCTCCATGAGGCTTTAGGGGGACCTCTGAACACAGACCATAACACCAAAGCAGGTGTTTTAACAAAGCATAGTCATTAAGTCTTCATGGGCGGAAGCTTCAGTCAGTGTCCTTGGTGCTACCGGCATTGTCAAGTGCCTTGGGAAACTGTCACAACAGGAAGAGTGAGGGAAGGAGGGAGAATCAATGCTGAGAGCCTCTTTCCCAAATCCCATTAAAGGAAATGAAATGCGGTAACCGAGGACAACCCAACCACAGCCACCTTATGGAGGAATGAAGACAAGGGCCAGGGATTTAGCTCAGTGGTGCCATTGCCTTCCTTGCAAGTGCAAGGTCCTGAGTTCGACCCCCAGTACCAAAAAAACAATGAATGAAGACAAAATTCCCCATCCAAAGATACAGCCTCCTAGGTGGGAATAAACAAAACAGAGTCTTAAAAGAGAAATAAAAGGAACCAACGTAATTAAAAGGAAAAGAATACTCAAAGAATATGAGTCAAAAATACCATTTCAGGAAGTATACAATTCACTAGAAGACACAGAAAATCACTTTATACTAATAAATAGAAATCACAAAGAAGATTTAATAGTTATGACATCAAATACGCTGCAGCAAAACAAAGAAATATCAACAATATCAACAGGAACTGCCACAGATAACAATAATGGGATAATTTAAGAACTACTCTGAATTAGAGAAAATGAAAGCACTCGAATAGTATAATGAATTGCTTCCTTGGTGGGTATGTATTGTATTTTGTTTTCTAGGGAGTTAACATTTTTCCCCTCAATACCCAAGAAGTATTTTTGCTAAATTTATATAAAACACTATAAATAAAGGAGGATCTGGTCAAGAGGGAGTAGCCTCGTTCCTCTCAGTTCCCGTTTCTTACAACTGGAAAAGTCCTGTGCCCAAGAACAAAAAATGAAAGATGAAGTAAGGAGACCAACTGCCCAAGGGCTCCCTGGATTGATGTGGCTGCCCATAAATCTCAGGCAGAGGGCGGCAGACACCTTGGCACCGATCAAAACAAGCTCCAAGACAAGCCTCAAATCCTCCCTTGTCCAACAGCTAGAGAGTGGGTGGCTTGGTGAAAGCCTTGTCAACGCCTGCTCCACCTGCCACCCTCTGATCCAAGGAAGCCAGCGACAACTCTCCTCGCTCAGGCCCTGCGGAGTCAAGGGACTGAGCAGGTCCTCAAGCCACATCTCACCAGGGGGCGCCTTGCTGAAAAGGGAGCCTCACAACATCCCAAGTGTCTCTCACAGTAAGAACCAGGAAGATCTCAGTGAATGAGAAAAGACAACCAACAGATGCCAGTGCTGAGGTGAATCAGAGAGGGCATACAGGACTGGGAAGTTAACCCTTCTGTGGTCATGGCTGATCTGAGAAATACAAACTCTGTACACCCACAGTCTCTACAGGGTTAAAGCATCCATCATAACAGTACTAGAAACACATGGGAAGAAGGAGAAGAAAAATAGGACAGAAACAGAAGTTTTAAAACAAGAATCAAATGGAAATCATAGCGCTACAAACTATAGCAAATCTAAATGAACACATTAGATGTGCCCCATAATAGCAAAGTGGCAATAAATGAATCAATGTGTTTGAGGACAGATCAGTAGGACTTACACAAAAAAGGTAAATAATAGAAAATAAAGTAGAAAAAAGTGGAGAATTTGTGTGACAGGAAGTACAAGGGAGAGGGAGCACTGTGAAGATTAATGGCCAAAAGCTCCCTGAATTTGATGAAAGACAGAAATCTACAGACACAAGAGGCTGAGCAAACCCTTCAATAGAGTAAGCCAAAGAAATCTATGGCAACATGCATTATGATGAAACTTCTGAAAGCTGAAGGCAAAGGATGATTCCGAGCACTGAAGCAAAAGAGCAGCAAACAGCAAATCCCACACTCAGCAAAAATATCCTCCAGGAAGTAGGAGAACATAAACTCTCAGGTGAAGAAAAAGTAAGATTTGTCACTGGAAAGCCCTCCCTTAAAGAATAGCAAAAGGAGATGCATACCTGTAATCCCATCATTCTGGGAGGCTGAGGCAGGAGGATCACAAATCACCCTGGGCAATTTAGCAACTTAGCAATACCCTGTTCTCAAATTAAATAAAGAATGAAAAGGTCTAGGGATGTAGTTCAGTGCAAAGGCCCTGGTTTCAATTCCCTGTATAGGGGGCAGGGGGAGGAAGTTCTGTAAACAAAAAAGAAACAAGAGAAAAAGGCTTAGAATTTTAGAAAAGAAAAAAGAACATCAAAATGGGCAAAAATAGGAATGAATACAATAAAATATCCTTCTCATAACATTCTTAATATTATCTGATGGCTGAAGCAAATATTAAAACTCTGTCTGGCTGGGGGTATAGTTCAGTCGTTCCACCACCTGCCTTGCAAGTGCAAGGACCCAAGTTCGATCCAAAACAAACACACACAAAAAAAACCCAAACCAACAACAACAACAACAAAAACAAAGCTCCCCGTGGCATATATGAAAAACACAGTCGAGGAAAAACAAAGGGAGTTGTATTTTAATTTGTTGGAGGCTGAGGGACTTTAATTTTTACGTTTTCCTTGAAGCAGCAACATATCAACCCCAGGAGACCAGTAGGTTCTGTACATAGGATAGGATACCTAGAGCAAGCACGAATAAACACTGTGCAAAGCAATGTATAAAAACACTAAGTCATTAGAACTGTGAAATATGTTCAGGTACCCATAGGAAGGCTACTTTGGAAAACTTTTTCATTTTCTTTTCTTTTTTTTTTTTTTTTTTTTTTTTTTTCCAGATTTTTTTTTTTTTGGTACCAGAGGTAGAACTCGGGTCCTTGTGCTTGCGAGGTAGGCGGCAGAACCACTGAGCTAAATTCATTTTCTTTATGCAACATATGACCCAGACATGCCCTAATTACATATTCACCTAAGAATAAAATAATGCCCATACCAATATTCACAGCAGCATTATTTTTAACGGCCCAACAGGAGAAGTGATAATTTGTGGAATGCTACTAGGTGATGAAGTAGAATGAATTGTAGCTGAGCAGCAGCAGGAGTGTCAGAATTATTGGGCAAATTGAAAACAAGCCAGACAAAATGAGCACAGGGTTTCTGATTCCACTTATATAAAAGTCTATGACACACACACTAGCCTGGAGTGAAATTTTACGGTAAGGTAAAAAACAAAAAATAAAGTTTACTGGGTGTGGTGGCACACACCTGTCAACCCAGCTACTCAGGAGGCTGACGCAGGAGGATCATGAGTTTGAGAGCAGCCTGAAAAGCTCAGAACAAAACAAAAATCAAAAAATAAAAGGACAGATTATTTCCTGGGTTCCATCCCTAGTACCACAAAATAAATAAATACTCATATTCTAAGATATCATGTAACTATGTTCATATTTTTAAAGGTGATTGGAAAAATCAGTCTTCCCATTTAGAACTTGGAGGCCAGGTTATAACTTGAAAAATACTTTTTTTTAAATTTTGGCAGTTGGTCAGAATTTTTAAAAGTGTTCCCAAGCCAAAGACATTTGTTTTGTTTTGTTTTTTGGTACCAAGGATCAAACTCGGGTTCTTGTCCTCGCAAGGCGTGTGGCAGCACCACTGAAGCTAAATCCCCGGCCCCCAAAGATGGGGTTTTTAAAGTCCTAATATATATAATGAAGCTCAAGCTTCTAGAAAAAGAAGAGCAAGTCAAGCCCAAAACTTATATGAGGAAGGAAATTATAAAGATCAGAGCAGAAATTGATGCAATTGAGACTAAGAGAATGAATGAATCAAAGAATCTGTTCTTTGAAAGGTTAAATAAAATTGACAAACCCTTAAAATTATTTTTTTAAAAATTCAAATCTGTGCAATTTTCATTTTAGGAATGAAAGGGGTGAAATCACAACAGATCCTGCAGAAATCCAGAGATCATAAATACCTACTTCAAGAAACTGTATTCTAATAAGATGGAAAATACAGAAGAAATGGACAGATGCTTAGATACATATGAATTACCAAAGCTGAACTAAGAAGATATAAAAATTCTAAATAAACCAATATCATTCAATGAAATTGAAGCTGTACTAAAAAACCTACCAATAAATGAAAAGCCTAGGGCCTGATGGATTCACTGCTGAATTCTACAAGATATTTAGAGAAGACCTAATACTGCTACTTCTTAAACCTTTTAATGAAATTGAAAGGGAAGCAATACACCCAAATTCCTTTCTGGAAGCAAGCATTACCCTAATACCAAAACCAGAGAAGCATCCAATCATGAAAGAGAACTACAGGCCAATTTCCCCAATGAAACAGATGCAAAAATCCTCAATAAGATACTGCAAACAATGTAGCAAATCATCAAGAGGGTTGTACATCATGACCAAGTAGGATTTATCCCAGGGACTGCAGGGATGATTCACCATACACAGATCAATAAATGTAATACACTATATTAACAGAACCAAGGACAAAAACCATATGATCCTCTCAAGAGGAAAGGCTCTTGACAAGATCCAACACCCATTCATGATAAAACTCTACAGAAAATTGGAATAGATGGTCTTTATATCAATTTTATAAAAGCCATCTATGAAAAACAAATAGCCAACATCATACTAAATGGACAAAAACTGAAATGTTTCACTCTAACATCAGGAACAAGACAAAGATGTCCACTGTCACTTCTCTCATTCAATATAGTTCTGGAAACAATCAGAGCAATTAGACAAAAGAAAGAAATAAGAGGGATGAAAATAGAAAAGGAAGAAGTAAAATTATCCTTATTTGGGGATGATATGATACTCTACATAGAAGACCCCAAAAGACTTCTAGCCTTAATTGACAGATTCAGTAGAGTGGCTGGATACAAGGTCAACACTCAAAAATTAATAGCCTTCCTGTACACAAATAACAAGCTCACTGAGAGAAAAATTAGGGAATTCACACCTTTTCAGTATCCAAATAAGTGAAATACCTAGGAGTCAGTCAGATGAAGGAAGTAAAAGAATTCTACAGTGAAAACTACAATACTCTGAAAAAGGAGATTTAAGAAGATATAAGAAAGTGGAAAGATATCATTTATTCTTGGCTCAGGAGAACCAATATAGTGAAAATGGCCATACTTCCAAAATGATTATACAGATTTAATGCAATCCCGGTCAAAATACCAATAGTATATCTCATAAAACTAGAGAAATAATCCTAAAATTTACTTGGAATGATAAAAGACCTAGAATAACAAAAAAAATTCTGGGCAACAAAGGCAAGGCAGGGGGCATCACAATCCCTGACATGAAATTATGCTGCAAAGCTACTCTGATAAAAACAGCATGGTACTGGCAAAAACAAAACAAACAAACGAAAAACACACACAACAGATTTAAGGATCAGTGGAACAGATTAGAAGGTGAAGAAACAACTCCAAACATACTCAACCATCTTATCTTTGATAAAGGAGCCAAAAACCTCCACTGGAAGAAATATAGCCTCTTTAATAAATGGTGCTGGAAACTGGCTTTCCACATGCCAAGGATTAAAACTAGATCCATGTCTCTCACCATGCACTAAATTCAAATAAAAATGGATCAAACATCTAAATTTTAAAACTGAAACACTAAATCTTCTGGAAAAGAGAATAAGAAGAACTCTTGAAGACATTGGTACCAGCAAAGACTTTATAAACAAAATCCCCATTGAACAGGAACTGTCACAAAAAACCAACAACTGGGATTTCATCTTGTTAAAAAGCTTTTGCATAGGAAAAGCTTTTGCACCATCAATAGAGTGAAGCCACAACCCAGAGAGTGAGACAAAATTTTTGCTAGCTATTCATCAGGAGAAGGACTAATATCTAGAACATGTAAAGAATTAAAAAAAAAAAATCAGACCCCCCCCCAAGTTTAAAGACCTAATCCAAAAATGGGCATCTGAAATGAATAGACATTCTCAGATAAGGATTTAGCAATGGCAAATAAATATATGAAAAAATGTTCAATATCACTGATCATTTGAGAGATGTAAATTAAAAACAATACTGAGATTCTGCCTCACTCCAGAAAGAATGTCTGTTATCAAGAATCAACCGATAACAAATGCTGGTGGGACTCTGGGGAAAAATGAACCCTTCTCCACTGTTAGTGGGAGTGTAGACTGCTGTGTAACTACTGTGGAAATCAGTGTGGAGATTCCTCAAAAAACTAAAACTAGAGCCAGGCATGGTGATGTATGCCTATAATCCCACCACTGGAGAGGCTGAAACGGGAGGATTGCCATGACTTTGAGGCCAGCCTGGGTTATATAGTGAGGTTAAGGCAACCCTGAGCTACGGAGTGAGACCTGTCTCCAAAACAAAAACAAACAGCTGGGGATTTAGCTCAGTGGCACCCTGCCTGCCTTACAAGCACAAGGTTCCAGTTCCATCCCTGGTACAAAAAACAAAAAACAAAAAGACAAAATTACATTGCATAAAATCTGGTAACAGTCATTCTCTACAACTGCTAAAGACTGGGGCAGATTGATGGTATTTAGCTAAGAATATTACCACATGTAAAGTAAACCGTATGTAGGGAGAAGTTAGCAAACACAAGCATTCCCCTCTTGAAGGAGAGAAAAGGAGGAATTTCTTTTACGCATACACATGTGTGTGTTTGAGCCCTAACAATGATGGCTGATTGTCATTTTGGATTTGTGTTTTTTAAGCATTTCTCAAAAATGACTATAAATAAACGATACCCAAAGCTATTGGACATGTTTCCAAGGTAGAGAAGGTGGTGACTCTAATCCTTTGCCGCCATGACCAGCCCCTGACCCCTGCTGAGGTGTCCCGCGGACAGCCCCGGGCTGGGGTCTGACCATCCCTGCTCCAACCCTGAGAAGCCTATGTCCTGGCCAGGCCTCCCGACAGCCCAGTGCTGTGTCACTGGAAGGGTGGGCTCCCCAGATGGCACCCCCCCCCCCCCCCCCCGCGGCCGTGCGCGCCTCTCAACACAGTCCTCGGACCACGCTCCTCAGCTTTCAGCAGTACTACTTTTCCTCGCCGTTCCCCACATTGCATCCTTTCCCATCTGCTGTAAAGTGTGGGAGGGTTCCCCTGCAAGGAGATGTGGCCCGAGGGCAGCAGGCTTCAAGGTCAGAGACACCTGGGTCCATCCTCCC